CCAGCCATGGCCGCTCCGGTAACCGTCAGCACGTCGGGCCATTAGGGTTGGGGTCAGCGTGGCCCCAGCAGATCAATCCACGCTCTGGGCGAACAAGAGGAGACAACGGCTCTCGACCGAGGCGATGGTGTGCAAGGAGATCTTCTTTACTACTCGACATCACCGAACTCCACTTGCCTGGCTTCCTGTACATGGTTTGCTACAAGTGGGTGGACCGGTTGGCAGCTCCTCATACCCCTCTCCATACCATGTCCCTCCAACTGCCCACTCGCTCATTCCCACTCTTTCCCTTTTATTGTCGGTCTGTACGTCTGTCTGCCATTCTGAGAATTGTCCAGCCCTTGCTTTTTGCAAGAACATGCACGTGTCATCTGCAGGGTTTCTATCCTAACCCTAATCTTTAAGCTGAATCGAGTCCACCTTAAGATATTCTGCTTTTATTTCATTCACTACAAACCCTTTCGGCCTGTCTGGCAGATCCCATCACTGCTCATCATTCAGGGCGGCTTTCGCCTTAGGGATTCGCTAAATACGAAAATTTTCTCTTCAATTAGTTTGCATTTGGACAAAACAAACCCCAGCTGTAGCACAATGCCATGCTTTCTTCTTTTCACTGCTCTCTTTTCAGCTATTTTCCTTTCTTTTTTCTTTTTTTTCTTTTCTTACCTCATAGTATTTTCTCTTCTCTTCTATTTTCATATCCTTTCTTCTAGTATCTTCTAGTATCCTTTATTTTATCTGCCATCTCTTCTCTCTTTTTTGGACTCAAATTGACTTGATTGGTATCCCATGCGAGCCATACATCTCCCAAGGCCCTGCTGAAACGAGGCCGTATTTGCTGAACTTGCATTTTGTACGGTACCTGCGATCCGGGAAAACATTGTGTAGTACTCGAACCCATCAAGTAACTTTCGAATAAACCAGAGGCGGAAATGCCGCGGTGTGTTGGTCTCACAAAAATGTTCATAGACACAGAAACCAGGCTTCGTTTCAGCAATGTGGGCATTTCTTACTTATTCGCGGGACTAGAGCGTGCTTGTGCTTGTCAACAAAGGAGATCATCCAGCCGTTTAGACAGGTTTATCCAAATGTGTATGTTTTCAATCAGAATAAGGTTCTAAAACCGACACTGAATGCGATTCGGAGGAGGCCTGGATTGCCCTTAATGTCATAGCCATCCTGGGACCTGCTTTTGAAACTCGGGGCAAGGTAGTAAAAGGCCTTTCAGTAAAGATGGGCCAAGGGAAATGTGATGTCATCATGAGGACTACTTATAGAATTGTAGCACAAAGTCCAACACGAGTCCGTGAAACACCTTAAGCGACCCGGGGGAATTGTGGTCTTATCAAAAGTTGCCGGAATATGCAAGCATTCGCTACTAAGATGGAAAAACGACCTACTTTCGACGCTCTTTATACCATCAGGCTTTGTTAAAACGCATTCCTAGCCCATGCTATCCTTGCAGAGACGAAACTTGGATATTTGCAGTCATCAAGGGATAGGCTCGAGGATAGTTCAAGTAGGACACATGGGTTTCACTCCATTTCCATACATACCTTATTTATTTATTTATTTATTTATTTATTTTGTATTGTTTCGAGACTACCAGTAAATCAGTAGTATGAGATGTATTCACCCAATTTCGTTTAAGGTGATG